CATTGAAATGGAAAATGACTCTATTGGTAAAGGGAACATAGGGGAAATTCCAGAAGAAGAACTTTCTGAGTACCTAATGGGTTAATAATTAATTTAGGATGTTTCGCTGGTCTGCTGTCTCAGGTGGTGTTTAACTTAGATCAAGTGGGAGGGGTTTTCAGTTGCAAATCTCCATTCTGAGGGAGTTGTCTTCGTTCTCAGACACCATAGAAGAAAGGTGTGCAAATGAGTCTCTGTTGGAGAAAACAGCCTTGGGCTGGAATGCAGGCTAATGGCGTCTCTGTGTGGAGAGAAAGACCTTTGATTTTAGGTCTGTTTGGAGTAATGTAATATTACTAAGAAGATGCACCTGTGCTTGGACAAGCACATGATTTTATGCAACTATCTGTTTGTTACATTGATTGTTTTTGTGTGTGTTTTGGTATAAGTTCTGTTAGTAAAGCTTTTGAACCATATTTATGGTCTGGACAATTTTTCTTCGAAGAGGATTCAGTTTTTATTCATCCTATTGCTTCAAGCGGCCCAATAGTAATAATTCAATAGTTGCAATTTCAACATCTTCTGGAGGGCACCATGACCACTTGTGTAAACCAGTAGCAGAGGCCTTCTAGGGTCTCAGACAGGAGTCTTTCTCAGCCATACTTAGAGACGTCACAATTTAAACCAGGAATCTTATGCATTCAGAGCTTCCATTCTACTACTGAACTATGGCCCCATTATAATTTCACTCTTCCACAGTCATGCTTGCCTCCTTCTTTCTTTTCTTTTCATGGGGACCTTGACTCTTCTTATTCAGTACTTACTGTATTATGGTATCAGAAAATCAATATGCAAAAACTGTGCGATACTTCATCTGAAATCAACCAGTGTGGTTCCACATTTCAGTAACATTCAGTTGATTTATACAGGGTTTAGCTTTAAGGCCTTATCAACAGGAAGTTAATGGCTACATGTTATATTTATGAATGGTGTTTGCATGGTCTAAGATTTCAAATCCCAAAGCAGCAGAATGTAGCAATTGACAAAAGGATTGTTCACTCATATGCCCTAAGAAAAATAATAATTTCCCTGGGTTGTAGCAATCAGTAAGGCTGGAATTAAGGACAGAAATAAGTCCATATTCCATTATCCTGCAGATAATTAATTTTTTTAAAGGTAACTTTCTTTTCCTCTGTAGCCTAATTAGTTGCCTGTTGGGAAACATGAACCCTGAGCTGTCAAAAAAAATAATTTTTTTAAGCTGCATTCCAATATAATTAGATGGCTGATTACGCCAACAAACACAGCCACAGCTGTTTGAAGCCCAGCACTCCTTAAGCTACACCAGCTTTTCTTTTGACAACAACTAAGACATATGGTAATGATACTCCATCTTCTCCCCTTGTGTTGCTATGCTAGACACTTCAGTTCAGATGCCAAAGCCGTTAGAAGTTCTTTTTTTAAAAAAAGAAAGATTAAACAAACACTTTAGCTATTTGTCTCTCTCATGTCATTTTAACGTCCTTTCCCCTTTCTTTCCTTGACCACTTGTTCTATTCCCAAATTTCCTGGAGTATAAATGTGAAAAGACTGTGCTTGCCTCGAACATCTCTTAAGGAACACCAAAAGCTGCCTTTTACTGAATCACATCATTGGTCTGTCTGGTGGCTGTTGCTCTGGTTCCAAGGACATTTCCAGAACTGTACATTTCTCTAGCTCTCCACAGTTATTATGCCTATGCAAGAACAATTGCCTGAGGCGGCACATGCCACCTTGCTCCCAGTGTCCCTCTTCTCTCTGTTCCCAACCTTCTTGTGTAGAATAGGAAAGTTTTGGTGATGACTATCTACCTGCAGTAAAAAGAAATGTATCACAAAAATAGGGAAAATGGGACACCGATTTGCATAAAATTCGCAATACATAGGCATAGATAGAAGAAGCTTAGAAATCGCACACATAGAAATCAAATACAATATATTGACCTCTCTCCTGATGATTTTACAAGTAGGAAGTGTGCTGGAGAGAAAAAAAGAATTCTGGAGACATTTTGGATGCTATGCAACAGAGATGGGGAAACTGGCCCTCTAGAACAGCAAACCTTATCATTAGGGGGCCGGTCCACTGTCCCTCAGACCTTGTGGGGGACTGGACTATATTTTGAAAAATATAAATACCCTGCAAGCTGGTCCCACAGCTGCCTCCAGACCTGGAGGAGGAACACACTCTGCACACGCTCAGGAGCGCGTCTCGGCACTGCCCGCTCACTGGTGTTGTTGACGAGCAGCAGCCGCTCCATCGGCCTGTCCCTGCAGCACTCCCAGATGGCATGCACCATGTGCTGGGCCCATCGTTCGTGGCCAGGTCAGCGGGCAGGCCGCACACGCAGAGCACTGGGCAGCGGTGCGCAGCTTGCCCTCCATCTGCTCCAGCACAGTCGCTGAGCATGCCACCAGCAGCAGTGCTGAGCTGGACACCAGGCGCGGTGCCAGCAGGTGCACCAAGCTCCGACTGAAGCCCTGTGACATGCCTGTCATGATGCCCACAGCACGGCACAGACCCGCTGCCTGCTCGCCGGCTTCTCCATCCATGACCGCACCGGGTTTACCTCAGCCATGGGCAGCGAACTGTCGGATTGGCTGCAGAAACCTCCTGGAGCCAATCCAAAGCCGTGCCAGTGTCGCCGCCTGCCCAGAGCTGTCTGCGGCTTCGGATTGGATGCAGGAACTTCCTGCAGCCAATCCAAAACCATGCCAGCGTTGCCACCCACACAGAAGCCAAGGCATCCACAGCGCGCGGGGACTGACCAAGTTGGCGGCAGGGTCTGCGGGCCAGATTTACGAGCTTGGGGGGGCCACATCCAGCCCTGGGCCTCAGTTTGCTGACCCCTGCTCTAGAAGTTGCAGGACCAGCTCCCATCAGCCACAGCCTGTATGGCCCATGGTCGGGTAGATGCGAGTTGTAGTTCATTAAAACCTACAGGTCATCTGGTCCCTATCCTTGTTGTACAACAAAATGAAATGCAAAGCCTAAGGCACCTTATAGTCAGATTGAAGCAAGCATCCATAGTTTGCTTATGCTTGTGCAGTCACAATTACTCTAAGGTAAATTGTCTGATATTTTCAGCCTCATTAGGTGATGGTAGCCAACCTAAGCTGAGGCTTAATGGTATTACACTATGATACGTATTCCTAAAATGAAATTGGTCACTTGGTGCATGTGTCTCCCTATTTATAAATGGGAGTTTATTAGGCCACTGACATGTAAAAGATATTTCAAGGTATTTGTGTAAACATTTGAAATATTTATGCTTGGATCAGGGCTAATTTTACAGAAACTGATGAGACATGCAGAAGTACCCTATTTGCAGCTTTGACATAAATACTTTGCTATAAAGATGATTTATGTTTCTCGGTGCTCAGTGAGCATACAACCTGCTCTGCACAGAGGATATGTAATTGTTTATTTGCTTAATTTTCTTTTTATTGTTTTGTGCAACAGTGTAGTGCATAAAAAGCAATATACAGAGAAAGGTGTTGCCAAGCAAAGGGCAAAAACTGAACATGGTGGTATTCAGTAATGAGAAAGATATTTCAGGTTACATATACTTGTCATTTTTCCAGATAAGGCTTGCCTGCACTTCTTGTTTTTCATTTGCACAAAACAGCATTACTCAACCTTGTTCGGGGTTGTGGGGAGGTGGCAGGAAGAGGAGTTTTTGTTTGAGGGAATTGTAGACAATTATGGCCTGGTACAATTTATTCATTTTCTTACATTTATATTCTGTCTACATTCCATCATGGAAGTCAAGTTGGTAAGACATGTGATAACCCAAGCAGTCATTTATCCAGACACTGTCCAGACCCAGACCTGCTTAGCTTCAGCAAAATTTTGGCTTCATGTGCTTTTAGACTTTGCCCCGGGATAATTATTTTTTAAAATGTTATTATCAGTTTTTCAAAAAGGAAGTACAAGACAGCTTGGTTCCTCCACTACTTTAGTTATAACAAAGCTTTAACATAGTTGATTGTTACAGAAGAATTCAACAACAAGAAGAAAAAGAGGTCACACAGTCATGTGAAGAAAGTGTCATTCCATGGGTCTTCATTAGTTTTGGGTCGTTTGTAGCCATGTTCCTTTTCGGAAGATAAAACTAAACCAAGTGTTGAGAAACCTTTTGAGTGCATACCCTGGGATAATGGAAGAACTTTTGGTTAGACTGAGGAGACTAGAATGCTGAGGCCTCAAATTCTTGCTTTCACAAGATTCTACCCCTTCCATATGGAATCACAAATCTCTTTCACCAATGGGCAAAACCCCCAGAGGCTATACAATTCCCAGAGGCTATAGAATCAAATAACAAGGTTGGTCAATCACCTAGCTTTGTTACTTTGTAGGTGTGGCCTTCAAGGAAACAGCTCTGAGCATGCTTAGAACAGATGTATTGGCTACTGATTCTACCAGAAAACTAGACTTGCTAGATTGCCATCATAACAATGGAAGGGAAGGAGAAATTGCACAACCAGGACTTAGACCTAGTAGCTCCATTAACATACGAATTTACTATTCCACTGTTTTGGAGACAGGTGGGTGAGACATCCTGTCCCTAGCAAATGTTTGGACTGAGATTAGCTGAGCAGTGCAGAAAACTGATTGATTAGAGATTGACAGAAATATTTTCCTCAGCCTCTGTAAATTCAAGTAGATTATAGACGTTTGTGGAGGATTTTGGGGGGAAACCTTTTAAAAACGTGCTTGACATTTGACACAGTATGGACCAGCTAAAATGCTAGTATGCAGCAATGACAGTTCATTGTTTGAAGACACATTTTAAAAGTATCCTCTCAGTTAGGAATGTATGCTACTTACTAGGGGGCCCCTAAGCTGCACAAGGCCCTAATTCTGCACATACTGTGTGTGCCTATAAATCTGTCAGTGCCTGAGTAGGGTTTAACTGAATACAACTGTATGTTCTAAAAGGTAACATGTGTTCCGTAGTCAAATGCCCTCCCCTTTTGGCAGTCATAATTTCTCTTTCTCTCTCTCTCTCTCTCTCTCTCTCTCTCTCTCTCACACACACACACACACACACAGAGAGAGAGAGAGAGAGAGAGAGAAACAGAAACAGAGAGAGAGAGAGAAGGATAGACTATACTAAACTAAGTCCATAAGTCCTAAGACCATTGTGTTTGCATGCACAAAGGCTTTACTCAGGAATGACTTTGATCCAGAAAACCACAAGTAGAATCTTGTCTGAGTGTCAGCTATGCAAATCAAACATCCATGAGCACAAACTATGCCATAACTAACAATGTGCTTGCTATATTCATCTCTGTATTTATCTTCTGTATCTGTTTAATAAACCTATTTAATAATACCTTCAAAAACAAAGCAGCAAAACATGCAATGGTACACAACCTGCAGCTGTTGCATCACTAGTATTTTGAGATGGGGATGAATGGGAAAGCAGGAAGACTATGAAGGGGAGCAGTTATCCTACATTTCAAAGCATGAGTTTTTATTTTATGAAATAGCACCCTGGGAGAGAGATACTTCACCGTAATCCCCAACCCCAATCATTATGTGAAATGTTTCAATGGGGAAAATTATGTGCCAAACAGTATACTAATTAACTTAAACACTCACAGAGAGATACACATTAGTACATCCTTTAGTTGTGGAATGGCACAATTACACAATTGTTAGCAAGTATTAATTTGCTATGGGAAAAATGGATTAGGACTACGAGGGATATCTGGATTCACTAATAAAGATCAATTAGAGTCCCAGTGGTATTGGGTCTCCTGTTGTTCACCATGCCCTTTTGACTTCTTAAATCTTTCCTGTCACATGAGTAACAATTCCTGTTATGGTACTTACTGGATGAGAAGCATGGGAATACGTAGACATTCAAACAGCTGCATTTAAGTGGCCTCATTTCAATACTGGGAACAATGAATGTTGAATAATGTCAAGTCACTGTTTCTTAGCTCTTCTACAATAGCATTTCCCTCCATTGGTTAATTAATTGTTCCCCAATGCACCAAAAATATTAGATTTGTAAAAATAAGAAAATAAGACTGTTGGTGATCTACAGGACACAGCTAGTTAAGCAACTGATATATGTGTCTGGTGCACTGGCATGCTTAAGACATGATTGCAATACGGTTTTATGACTACCACCCCCATTATACCAATACTGCTACCACTAATTCTAAAAACTCATACCTTTCACATTCCAAAAAAAGAACCCGAGGCAGCTTACAACACATAAAAATGGTCAACAAAGAGCAGCTAAGATAACAAGAAATCAATTCATGAACAAAAACAGCTGTTAATAAAATAATGATCAGAAAAGGAAACAGCAGGCAAAAGAGGGTAGAAAATATTCTATAATATTTGTTTTGCATACCAGACAAAATATGATGAAACAGGAAATACAGTGCTTAATCAAAAGCCTTCTTTTTAAAAAAAACAAGTTTTAAGCAAAAGTCAAGGGACAACATGGATCTTAAGTGAAACTGCATTCTACAAGGTGGGTGTCACCACTGATAAGCCCCTGCTCCTCATCATTGCCTGCTGCACCTCTGGCAGCTGGGAAGTTTGGAGCAAGGAATCACAGTGTTGTTTCAGCATTAGGAGAGAAATAATAATACTATTGTTGATATCTGACTTTTGCAGATACTGCAAAAGTATCTGCCAAATACTGTATTGTACAGGATCTACAATACCGTACATTATTGTTTCAGTTCTGCAATTAGCAGAAGCATTTTTAAGAGTTTCTCTTTCTCAGATTTAGAAGATCATAACACTGCGGGGGTCTGTGTGTGTCTTTTTAGAGTTTCTTTTTTAGCTATCAGATTTCTTAATGGAGTTAATGGTCCCAAAGCCTGTGGAAATTTCAGTTTCTCTCAGGGAGGTCTGAGACTGAGCTCCAAAAAGTGAGGTGGTGTGGCCAGCCAGACCTTCCCGCTGACGTGCAAGACCTACAGGCAGGTGGCGGGCCCATAATTCAAAGTCTTCATTTGAACGGGCCTTAAAATTGTGAATGAAGTCTCCATGCACTCATTAAAATAGCTTACTATAAGTAAGCTGCAGAGCAGGGGAAATGAATCCTGGTGGCCCAGACTACCCAAGCATATGTCTGGAATAGCTGGTGCACTCATATAGGAAATCGCTAGATATTTTACACCTCTTGCTGTGGCTTAGAAACTGGCTGTAGAAACTCATTCTGCACTTGAGAAAATCATGAATTATATCCTCCCCTCCACCCCGCTCCTTTTTTACATCTGTTGAGCATGTTGTGCTTCTCAATCAACCAACTCGGCTGAGGCTTGAGCTTTCACAATGAGCTCACTGTTTTCAAGCATGTTCTGGTGGCATTTTGTCAAGCCATGTGTGTTTGCTGGGCTGGGGGTGGGGGAAGAGGAACAAAAGTCTACTGCAGTTTCACAGGCTTTGCAATCCCCTTCTCAGCCTACAGAAAACTGTAACTGACCCCGTCAGTAAGAAATATTCTTTGTTTACTCTTTTTGAAGCAGCCTGACTGCCTACAGGAAAAAGATCCATCTCTTCCATTGGATTCCGAGCCTTTTTAATTTTAAGCTCTTTGGATGTTGTCTTCAGAAGGCTTTCTTTAAACTGCATTTCCCTGGGTGCAAAGATTCATTTTTATGCCAGCTGGATAGTATTTTGCACACAACATCTCTCTATGAAACGTAGGAAACCCATGAATAATATTCTCATAGAGAAAGGCATTTGCTACCCAATTCCAAATAGTTGGCTGATGCAAAGTCCACTGAAGCAAAAGTGACACTGCATTTGCACCCCAGGTTCACAGTGACTTATTTCCTGTTGCACTTTGTCCAGAAGCTTCATAGCTTCTTGTCTGAAGATTTCGAACACATACCTTTGGCTCGGAACTGGAGGCTGGATGGATTGGAACAGGTAGCAGAACTCACAGTAGCCTGGCTTGATTTGTATGCAAAGCATTTTGAGGAGAAGATTGCTTGCATCCTCCAGGACTTTGACTCCACTGTTACAGCAGTTGAATCTCAAGGGGTATCCAGAGCACTGGCTAGTCCTGTTGTGTTGGATGGGCTTCAGTTGGTAAGACTTGAGGATGTGGACAAAGTGCTTGGATCAGTCAGGCCTTGTGCACTGGACCTCTGCCCCTCTTAGCTGATTAAAACTAGCAGGGAAGTGAAAGCTGGCTGGGCCAGGGGGGTGATTAATGTCTCCTTATGAGACGGGGTGGTCCCTGCCTACTGAAGGAGGCAGTGGTAAGACCATTCCTTAAGAAATCTTCCCTGCATTCAGAATATCTAAGTAATTACTGGCCAGCTGCCAATCTTCCCTGCTTGGGCAAGGTTCTGGAGTGAGTGGTCGTGGACCAGATCCTGGCACTCTTGAAGGAAACTGATTTTCTAGATCCATTTCAATCAGGGTTTAGGCCCAGTTTTGGCACAGAAACTGCTTTAGTCTCCCTGTATCATCAGATGACCTCTGTCAGAAGAGAGACAGGGAGAATGTGTCCCTGTTACGGTAATTATGCTTGACCTCTCAGTGGCTTCCGATACCATCAGCCATGGCATCGTTCTGGAGCAGCTCTCCAAGTTGGGAGTAGGCAGCACTGCTTTGCGAGGGTTCTGGTCCTACTTAGATAGGCAGTTCCAGAGGGTGATGCTTGGAGAGTGCTCTTTGGCTCTGTGGGCCAAATATTCTGATGACAAACAATTATATTTGTCATTTGCATCTGCAGATGTGGCAGTAGATGTGTTGGACTACTGGCTTGCCTCAGGAATGGACTGGAGGAGAGCCAACAAACTGAAGCTCAGTCCAGATAAGATTGACACACTGTTAGTGCATGGTCCCCTAGACCAGGTAGATGGGAGGTGGCCTGCTCTTTATAGTGTTACATTCTCTCTAAAGGAACAGGTACATAGCTGGGGGGCCCCCTCCTAGGCCCATTGCTGTCCCTTGAGGCCCAGGTGGCCTTGGTGGCATGGAGTGCCTTCCACCCTCTTCAGCTGGTGGCCCGGCTATGCCCCTATCTGCGGAAATACGCCTTTTCAACCCTTCCTGCAGCACACGGTCCAATAAAGATGGAGCAAAAATATCAGCAGAGCCTTGGTCAACTTTAAACAAGTGGAGAGCTAGTTATACTCACTATCAATTCCTGACACAGGTAGAGTTGACGGGCAAGATATTTTAAGTGGATGCCATATGGTGAGACCTGCTACCCAAAAGGCGTGATCACTGGGGGACTGGGGATGTAACAATGACAAACTCATGTCATCAAGTCAACGGCATCTGAATGAATTCATCCAGATAAGGCTGGATGAGGAAAGGAAGTGACTGTAGAGAAGGCTGTTTTCACATATAAGTAAACATGCTGTGTTGCCATTTCCTCCCAACCCCCACATCTAGCAGTTGCAGTCACCATTTCACAAAACTGTTCAAACCACTGCGAAAGCAAACAGGACCACTTTTATGTTTTGGAAATCTTTTCTGGAGCCATTCCAGAAACTCACAGCTTTCATACTGGGAAAAGGCCCAGTGAATAACAAAGATACCATCTGACATATTTATTCAATCACAGAATTTTAATCAACAACAAATATTTCCTGAGAGTAGTTTTTGCAATATGTCTCAGATAAATCTGAGATTGATTTGCATAAAACGTTTGGGGGCTTGGTGGGGAGGGGGGAATGCACAGGGGGGGGGGAAATAAGAGCTGTATCTTACATTTTAAAGGACCAACTTTAACTTTACAGAATGGTTCACCACAAACAGTTGACTCAGAATCTTCACACTGTTTGATAAAGCCTAACAAAAGAGGTGTGTGTTTGAGGTGAGACAGCTACATTCTGCTCCAGAATTCATATGAAAATATGTCCTCACCTAAATAGATATGTATGACTGTGTTTGCCTCTCATCCCTTTGTTTTTAAACACCAAGACGCTGAATCCTGGACTTGTCCAGCTGTGTTGTCCTTTCTTAAGGAATGGGAACACTACTGTTGAGCCAGGGATTGTTTCGAGAGAGAAACGTCCCCTCAGATATTTGGAACTTAAGCCAGACTGACCAGCTGAGCCCCAAGGGAAAGTATGAATAGCTAGCTAACAAGAAGCTCAATGTGGCAGGGAGATTTAG